AAAGAGCCGGGCGTGACGACACCTTCCCCTTGCTTTTATCTTACTCTCATCTCGGTCTCGAGAGTACTGTAGGGTACTCGTGCTTGATTAAATTTAGACGCGCTGCAATGAAAAGGCGCACGATACAAAGCTCGCTTCTTACTTATTGACGGAATATTATATTTGCAGCACTAGTCGGTTTAAACGGGGCCACTTTCTTTTTGACAATGCATGTTGGCATTTGCTTTGATTAATATCGACGCCGACAAAAAGTAAATCTCCGATCTACGGGTTCTGCTCTAAGTTTATGAGTCTAAACTCGACATCACCCAACTCTCTATGGACCTACCTCGACGCTTCCTATCCTCCAAACAAAGTTCAAATAACATTTATGTATTATAAGTATATCTTATAAGTTCCACTGGTCCACGCAATATTTTGCCAAAAAAAGTATTTATTTATAATCACACGGAAATATCGTATCAGAGCATAATTGCACATTCGTAGATTAGCCGTAGATTAGAATAAGATTATGTTGGAACGCAAGAAGAGAGTGAGTTGCAAATTACATCATATGCATATTTATGTTGGATCACGAGAATTTTTATAAAAATACATCGTTAACGGCGAAATAGACCAATCGATAACAAATATTGCCCTTAGAAAAGTACTATTTAACGAAAAGTGCGCCTAGATAGTCTTTATTTGGGGAAATCATTGATGACTGTACTAATCACTCTTTGAACTTATTGCTTTTGGTAATGACCGATCTAAACGCATAAATTAATAATGAACGCCCGGTTTACGTTTGATAAACTTTAAAAAATTCTTCTTTAACCATAAACTAAACGAACGAATGCTTTTATTTGATATTTATTTTACAGCGACGCTCAATTTCAATTAATAAAATGTATTCTCGGTCCAAAAAGCTTAATTTTTGTTTAAAGGAATTTTTAACGTACGTCTCGCAACAATTTTAATCCCACGAAGCATATTATGTTTATAAAATACGTTTAATTAGAATATCTTGAAAGTAAAACTATATAGGCCTTTGTGAAATTTCCATTTGAAATACTAATTTATCTAAACTGACTTCCCTAATCCCCCATATCGTGGCTACTAATTAATTAAGGAAGTTATCGATCCGATCTTAAGTACGCCTCTAAAGGTATGAAATCGAAAATATTGTATTAAATTGCAAGGCACATCGAATAAAAAAACTTGTGTAACTCCCTACTCCCATAATAAATGCTATCGAATGAGAATTTCCTTTCCAAGCCGATTTTTCATTAAAATTCAAGCATCAAGATAAACGCAGTTACATTATTTACACTGATTTAACAAATCTAAAAACTAGAACAATATATGAAGAAGAGAGGAAGAAATGAGCGGACAGATCCCCACCATCTCCTACCTCACTCTACGATCTTCACTCGTCAGCTCTGAAACATTTATCAAAACTACAGATCGACGCTCCCGCGCCATAAATTATTCAAGCCTATCTATGAGAGAGCCAGAACTCGTACTCGCGCACACTATTTTATTGATTTCTGCGTGAGCAGTGCGTCGCGCGGACGAGAGAGAGACGGAGAGAGAGAGAGAGAGAGAGAGAGAGAGAGAGAGAGAGAGAGAGAACGTAAATGTAAATCGCTGCGAGGCAAGAGTACAGATTACGGATAAGCGAAATCAATTTGCAAACTGCTCGAACGTCGTGGAATCACGAGGAGAAATGCCAGCAACGCTCTCTAAATTTCTTAAGGCGGAATTCTCATTGTTCGGGCTTATGTTTCAGCGTTTTTCATAATCGAGTCGCGTTGATCTCAAATTGAAAGTGAATAATCTTGACGTTTAGCTGCTTGACGCGATGCTTTCATTTCCGTCGACTCAGCATTTTTCGTAACAAAGTACTAACGATTCCATTTTTACACATTTAACCTGCCACGGACTTATATTTTCTATGTATGTATTTGTACTTTTTACGAACGGGTAATACGTAAATAAATATGTTAAGGGATACGATTTTATCATTCTGGATTGTAATAATAATGGAAGTAACTGTCAATGCCTCTAAATGAATGGGTATTTATTTTAGCTTCAAGTTCAAGAAAATGGAGTCTAAAAATCCGGTGATTATTGTGAAAATTACTTTTTCGTTGTGAAAACGTTTTGAGAAAAACTACCGAATAAACGTTCCGCTTCCAAGCTATAGTAATAGAAAGTTATTTCCATATAGTATAAAATTTTTAAATTTCGCGAATTCTAAAAATAGAATTATTCATTTTATTAAAAAAGTAGAAGGATGTTTTATAAATTAGAGAAGTTTATAGGAGAAAGTAAAATTCTCATGGCTACGAGAACAATTTTCCCTAACGAAGTTGCAATTTCAATCCAGCCAATTCAACCTTCACGCTAGATTAAACTAATGATTTTTACTCGAAGCAATTAAAGAACCGATAATTGATGCATACTTTATCGTATTTAATTGTAGAAACATTTTTCGTCTTATTCCACTCGAGGTATTTGGGAAGAAAAAATTACAAAATAATAATTTTAATTTTCTTTCGCCATTTTAAGGTTTTTTTTTTTTTTTTTTTTATTTCGTGTTCTTCTTTCATTTTTACTCAAAGCTTTATGTAAAATTAACCAATTTGACGTATAAAAAAAATTATTACTGTCATATTATTGCTAGTAAACTGTTTCTTAACAATTGGCAATCGCGTGTATATTCAGTACTGAAAATGCAAATTGAAAATATTTTGAAACTTAAAACTTTATTTATTAATAATATTAATTCTTTAATTAAAGTGCAATAAGTTATATAGACGATTTAAAAATTTTCTTACAACTTTATTGAACGGATAAGAAGAGCGAACAGAAGGTTAACAATACTACGCTTTTCAATAAATTTTGCCCCACGTCATTTTCAACGTACGGCTTGCTACACATATTTTTCAAGCGCACAAATATACATTGCAAAATTGCTACGTTGATTCGATTGGTTAATAAAAAATGTATTGTCCGTTCTTTGAAATGAGAAAAAATTAATGGAAGATTTGTAATTTACTTCGGAATGTCTTTAGAGATTCGAATGAGCATGGTTTTTTGCAAGCATGGTTGTTGTATGATTTTTACTCCTCAAATTTGTTGCTAAATGCTGCTTATTTAATGCATGTAATATAACCACCTGCTTCCTCCACTATTATTTAGTACTATTAAATTCTCTTTTTAAATATTTTTGTTTTATTATTCGTATTACATTATTATCAGCAATTATATAGTTAATGAACCTATTAATAGTCGTTCTATTCTCTCGTTCATTACTATAAAGTCAACTCTTTATTACCCATGTCGAATCTACCACACGTGATAGATAAAAATAACCTAACAATGCTATCTTTCATTGGAAAGTAATATCAATGTTCGCAAGTATCATATTGAAAAAGGAAAAAACCTTATCCTAATTACAAATATGCGTAGCGACTACTTTTTAGCATGTCAATAAGTATGAATATCTTACTTATATTGAAATTAAGGATTTCGTGTATTATCTGATTATGGCAGCCGTACAGTGATGTTCTATTGTGTGCGAGTTTACGAGTTTGTGAGTATTCTTGGAAAATTACAAGCGGCTTGTCGTGACATCGCAAACTAAAAGGGCGCGTGTTAGAGAGAGAGAGAGAGAGAGAGAGAGAGAGAGTGAGTGAGTGAGTAAAGAAAGGTAGGTGCTGCTATGACTCGGTGAATATCCTTTTTGAGAATGCGTTAGCTGTAAAGTCTGTTTGCACGTACCGAAATTGCTGACTTTAAAGTCTCAATAATAAATGAACGTTGAATGTGCATTTACGAATACTATAAAACCTTTAGATAAGATTTACAAGATTTATGAATTTGTTAAAATTCTATCAGACATTAGGTTAAAGCCGTTATTAAGGTACCTAGCATTTTCAAAAATCTTCTTAACTACCCTTTTGAAAGTATTATTGTAATAAAAATTATCTCCCAATCTAATTACACATATATCATATTAAGTTTCTTGATAATTTTAAATATCCTATTTTAAAAAAAAATATATAAAAAATAAAAAAAAATTCAAACTCAAATTCAAGCTCTTTGTAAAAGAACGAAGCTTAGCTCGGTAATGGAGAATTATCTTATAAATTGTAAGAAACTGCTATCGTAACAAAAAATATCATTCTTTGGGTAAAAAAAAAAAAATAATCTGTCAATTGTCTGTCAAAATAAGCCTTACATTTAAGAATGAAACAATCACGCAACCATTACCACAACTAAATATAAATACAATTTCACCATGAAACGAATTATTGGTTTTTATATCCCATGAATCATTGACATATCGCTCTATTGGCTGCTAAATTAAATATTTAATGAAAAGCGACGCAATTTGTGGTATTAAAATCAACGTATCGTTATAAACCGAATTTTAGGTCTCTGGATGTCTCCAATAAATTAATTAAATATTTTTCTACCTATCCAAGCATCGGCAAAGCCATCGTTGCCTCCTCGCTACATACAATTTTATAATCCAACACAGCCATCCTCGTAATATAATGAAACTAATTTGGATTATTAGCGTTGACAGTTGGATAATAATATATTTAAAACAAGCTTGAGAGTCAATATTCATTTGACTATGTTGACTGTTTATCTTCGACTATAATCGCGATGCAAAGCCGTAGATAATAATAGATTGAAAAGTTCGAGATAAGTATAATTGAGAAGCGCAGTTGGAAATACGAAATACTCCAGCCAACAACAAATTTCACTTAAGATCCGATAAGATTGCAGCCGACAAATACTCACCTCCTTGTCAACGTGACAATAAATCCATAAAAAGCGCTAGATCTTGGCCACTCTTAAAGCGGCCCGGAAAGCCCAGGAAAGCCATAGTAATAAGACCAAGGAAGGCCCATCGCGAACCCTCAGAGACGACGAGAGTCTCGCACTCGGGATTGTCCAGCTAAAAATGCCTAATCCTTCCCCCCCTCATACTTCTGTTTCAGAACAACACTACGCGGCCGCGGACTCGAACAGTTCCACGCCCGCCAAGAGTTTCGTGCCGTGCAAAGTCTGCGGCGACAAGGCGAGCGGATATCATTACGGCGTCACCAGCTGCGAGGGTTGTAAAGTGAGTTTCGACCTATATTTCCTTTTTCGCTTTACGATCGACTGGGACGGCGGTCGTCTCTTACCTCGGCGCCCATTCCTCGACTCCGCAGCCCGGCAATTTCGTAGCCTCGCCTCTCTCTCTCTCTCTCTCTCTCTATCTCTCTCTCTCTCTCTCTCTATCTATCTATCTCTATCTCTCTATCTATCTCTATCTCTATCTCTATCTCTATCTCTATCTCTATCTCTATCTCTATCTCTATCTCTATCTCTATCTCTATCTCTATCTCTATCTCTATCTCTATCTCTATCTCTCTATCCACTCTATCCACTGTATTCGCTTAGCGTTGCGAAATGTGTCAGGGACTGGCCGGTGCGAGCTTGCGAAAAACTTATATTTCACTTCACGCCGTACGGCTAATTCGGCCGTACTTCATAAGCTTGAGATTTCGATTTTATTTGCTAAGAGCTGTTTACTGCAGCAGTTTACTCGAGTGGCCAACTTACTTTATTTGAAAATTAATGAAACGTATGTCTGTTACACCGCTTGACCTATTAATCTTATCATATAGGCTTCGTTCGCTAAAGCAAAAACAAACGGAAAGAAAAATAAAGCTGGCAAACAATTGTCCTCGCACCTCTTACTATTGAGATAAATATTAGCTTATGTCATTATCGAGGTATTAAGTAAATATTTAAAACTTGAATATCTCTCTAAAATTCCTAAAAAATCAAGAGGAACGTGTATATTTTGTGTGTGTGCGCGTGTGCGCGTGTGCGCGTGTCGCGTGTGCGCGTATGTATGGATGTATGTAATAGACAGAGAGAGAGAGAGAGAGAGAGAGATTATTATATGTAGATAAAGAAAAAGAGAAAAATTGAACTTCATAAGTCAATTGTTTGATAGATATCTCTAGAGTAATAAATGCCTTTTGTCTGTGCTAGTGTTAGTGTGTATGTGCGCGCGCGCGCGCGCACGCTCACCTATGTACGCGTGTGCATTATAATGATTAGTACTATGTATGTACAACTATAAAGTTAGATAAATAGACTTGTGATAAATGGTTCGTTTTATTATACCGAATGAAACAAACAAAATACGGTTGTATAGTGCATTCAAATATACTTGAAAACAAGTTGTAAATCAATGTTCTGATATGCTTATTATTCAAATTAATCAACATTATCAACGAATTATAACAGAAATATAATGGATTAAATAGAAATGGTAGATAAACTCTTGATCAAATTAAAAATATTAGAAATATTAAAATCAAATTAAAAAAGAAGAACAACGTTGCCATAAAATCTGAAAGCAAGATAAACATATTTTCCTTTATATTGATCGTTTATCTTTTTGTTATATATATATGTGTGTGTGTGTGTGTGTGTGTGTGTGTGTGTGTGTGTGTGTAGGTGTGTGTGTGTATGTGTGCGTGTGTGTGTCTTTATGTATAAATATTATAATTTTAATAATAAACTCCATTGTTAACGTAGCTACTTGACAAACTTATCAAAAAACATAAGTTGAATTATAAAAAGTGTGTAAAAAATAATTCATGTCTATTGTCGATTTGTTTCAACTTTAGCGTTTATAATATTATAATTATGTGAAATAGTACTTAATGATCTCGATGAGAAATCAAACTAAAATATTATAAAAATTCATTCACTCAACAGTCATTCTTGTAGTATCATACATTAATATGTAAATTATAAGAATGTGAATGTAAATGTAGAATTTATGCCGATGATATTTGTAATTCCATGACTTTGTGTATACGATAAAACTTGGGCATAATTAATATTATTGACAATAGAGTCTAGTAATATTTTAACTAATTTTATCCAACGATAAGATATTTATTTTACACGCCATGTGATTATTAATAACTTAATAGCTTTGCATTTCATTCATTCACAATCATTCATTAGCACTAATTAAATTTATTAAATTACTCAAGTCAACGTCTTCTCCATATAAACTTATTTAGTCGACATTTGCATCTGCAATATATTACCTCTCGACCATCCTTTTACAAAGCCATTTACAGTCATTCTAGGCACAAAATTCTTCTTTATTAAATTATTGAAGATCTCAGCGACATGCCGTTGGAATGGGTACGGTGAATAATTGCCATTTTATAATTCGATTGGACGAGCCATTTTCGCACGCTAAGCCCATTCTTATATCGACAATACTTACTTTAATCTGTGTAAGCGACTGATCATTTAATCCCACCAATCGGTATCATCCGAGTTCAACGGCGTATACGTACATGTGATCCGATCCTTCTAATCTCTGTGTGCGTTCGCTTAGTGTCTGTGCGCGCTATCGTGGGTTTATGGGAGCGAGTTTGCGCGTGTATGAATCTGTGGCTGCGTGTCCGTTTTCGCGTAGGCAAGTGGGCAAGCGCATTTAGCCAATATCAAATGGTCACGCGCGCGTATAAATTAAAACATCATTATCGATATTTGAGCCGTTCGATCGTGAAAACAGTTCATTGGATCGACTTACGGAATATTAACATTTCATCAGCGTCACTCGACAATGTAAAAATATTGAGCATACAAAGGGCTTGACAATTATTTATTAAAACTGGTAAATGTCTCGTTGATTAGGGCTTTTAGAGAGAAGCAAAGCAGAAACATGTGATGGTAAGAAATATTTGCCTTCGAGGTTCTTATTTGTACACGAGTAGGGTTTGGTTAGGTAAGGTAAAATATTACAATTATTGACTTTATCTATTGTGAGAACGTCAAGTTTTCCATTATTGTATGGAGAAATTTTTATCGACGCGAAGCAAAAAAAGAAAGAAAGTTTATAAAGTTTATAATGAACTAAATGTGAATTAGGAAAAAAAAAATTCATCAAAATGTATTTACCTATCGATAAACTGCATTAAAAACTAGAAAGAAAACGAAAATTATAAAGAGCAATAAAAATGTAATAATATTACAAGAAAGCATGCAAGAAAAGTTTAAAGTGCTTATTATCATAACGATGTTGGTAGTGGCGATATTAAATAGAAGCTAAATGGAGTAGAGAAAGTAAAACGCAAAATCTTAATGTATCGTAGTTATTTCTAAATTTAATATTTATAGACGGTATTTGAAGAATGTTAATCAAGTGTTTCAATAAGAATGTGACTTGTTTGCTCCTCTCATAAGAATACAAACTTTTATAAACCTTGTGATAATAGTATTTCACAGCGAACGTATTACGCTACTATGGAATGGAAATTTGCCTAATTTATCAATAAAAATCAAATGATTTTACATTATAATATTCGCTTTATATTTTTACTGCCCTATTTTTTCTTCAATACAAAGTAATTTAAGTTTCTTTAATAATGTAAATTTAATTTTATCGACAATATGTAAAAGTTTTTTTGTTCTCCATACGAATTCTCGCAATCTGCTTTTCTACTATGAAAAAAAAAAAAAAAAAAACCACACAAATATATATAGTAAAATTTACTATACAATTTCTCTTTAAGCAAACTAGCTCGAAACCATTTAGCAATTATAAATGGAAAATGTGAAAAATGTAATGAAATAAAGAAATAAAGAGCATAATGCAATAAAACAAAAACAAAAAAAAAAAAACAAAAACAAAAAAACAGCCCAATTTGCTATTTGTTTATTTCTTATAGAAAATGCTCGTTTTGGATAATCAACGTAGCTATCTTGAAACTTGAAAAGCATTAGTTCATTAAGATTAGAGAGTCTAAGCGTGATGTAATGTCCAGCTTAGCAGCTAGTGGAAGATTTAGCTTTTTTTCCCTTCGCAACAACGGCTCTCCATTTTAAAATATAGTTTGCACATTGGCTGGTACGTTTTATATAAAAATTTTAAGCACCTTATCTCGAATGTCTTTAACATGATTTTATTGACGTAGCGCAACTCACGTTTGCGAATAAGTCAATCAAATCGTAGGAGCGTATGAGTTGGTATCGTTGTCTCGATTAAAAAAATTGATTAACATACTTCAAAACTTATGATAAAACTTATGCAATAGTTTTGGGCAAAGGCCACGTATACACATATCTGTTATTATCATGGAATTCGATAAGCGTTATAGTTATAATTATTATTTTTTATCGATAGGCGATGTCCTAGCTTCGGGTAAATGCAAAATTTATCGATACTGGGGATACGACATTGTCGTAGTTGCATTAAGTGTAGGAATGCGATTGCTAGTATTGCGCATTAAAGTAAAATTGTCGATATCGTATGGAGCTACTTAAGAATCATCGATAAACAATAGGAAAGCGCAATCTCCCGTAAGACTCCAATTAAAGAGAGCAATAGCCATTAGTTGCCAGAGGTGCTAAAATCCGTCATTTATCTTCGACGTCCCATCGCGTGAAAATTAAGAAAATCGCAGTATTGACATTGATTACGAACGACACGCAGACACAAACACACACACACACACACACACACACACACACACACACACCCAGACATCGCCACGGAGCGTATTCGCATTCGTGCGATCCACTGTACTCCCACCTACCCCTGCTTCCACCCACCCCTCAATCCCTTCTTGTACCCCTCGGTCCGTTTTCCCGCTCCCCTCGCCGTATCCCACGAACATCCGCGACTCCACCAACGTCGTCACGCAGAATTACGATGCCTCCCTCCTTCCCACTACCAGCCTCCTCTTCGCACCTATTATTATTACTGAATTTGCCCCATCCTTTGGCCTCGCTCTTCCCTCCCCATCTCCGTCCCGTCTAGCTATCCATCCGCTGAGGTGGAAGGCAGCGAGCGCAGACGACACCGATCGATCAGCCTTCGAGAGAGTAGCAAAAGGATAAACTCCCATCGCCGAGCCGCACTCCGGGGTTACACGCCAGGACCGGTAATGGAGCAGAAGAGGATAGAAGAGGAGCTCGATTACCGAGTAATTTATAGCCGTAAAATGGCGAAGTAACCCGACTCGCGATAAGCGAGATATTGAGTCAAGCTCTTCCATCATTCCGGGCGAGTTCGCTCGCTAGTCGTAGCATTGG